AGTTCTCAAATTTGTTTTTTTAAATCTTACCCTCATCAACTATTTGGTTTCTCTGGGGTATAATTTAAGACCAAAAAATCAGCATCAGTGCTTCTTTCCAAGTTTTCAGAACATTGAATTAGCCATACTATTTCTGATTTCATCTCTACCACAACCCTGATTAAACTGATATTATAGGTGAGATCATGGAGACTGGGAGTGGCCAAGACAGGAAGGGCAGAGCTGGGATACCAACTTGGGTCTGACTATCCCTAAAAGCAGTGATCTTGCCACATAGTGTCTGCTCTGACTGCCCTGTGACTTGAGAACAGTCAGGAGTTATGGAAACATCTGGAAGCCATGAATGTAGAGCTTAATGTTTTTAACATTTAAGTTTTTTTTTTTTTAAAGATTTTATTTTTTTTTATTTATTTGACAGACAGAGATCACAAGCAGACAGAGAGGCAGGCAGAGAGAGAGGAGGAAGCAGGCTCCCCGCTGAGCAGAGAGCCCGATGGGGGGCTCGATCCCAGGACTCTGAGATCATGACCTGAGCCGAAGGCAGCGGCTTAACCCACTGAGCCACCCAGGCGCCCCAACATTTAACAGTTTTTAACTGTTAGCATCTAAGGCTACTTCTCAGTCAATAGGGAGCTGTGGGCAGGGCCAGGCTGCACGTGGTCAGCAGCCCCTTCCTCATCTGGCACAGCAGTGAACTGTGGGACTGCCCTCTACTTTCTGTTTGAATTCTCCCTGTGTGAGCCACTTCCCCCGAACAGCTTTAACTACTCCATGGCTCAAGGCCCTGATGATTGCCATTTCCAGCCCCGACTGATTCTGAGCTGCCCTTGAATGCCTAACAGGCCTATCAGGCCAGACTTCTACAGGCACACCCATGTCCCCACTGCCCAGACCTGCCCCTTCTCTCCTAAACCAACAACTCCATTCCCAGTATCGCTGTTCCTCAGGTTCCCCAGCTAGAAACTCAGCCATCTTAGATCCCACCCATATCCCCATATTTTAGGCTGAAGCAGATACCGAGATGAAGCTTTGGGAGCAAGGTGGTTATTTAGGATCAAAAGAAAGTTGTGGCAGGAAGCAGATTGGGCACAGAAGAAGCTGAGCTATGACACAGGCCTGACCAAGCACCAGTGGACTGTGTAGGGGTCTCTGGAGCTAGGAGTCCCCATTGAAATAGTCTCTTCAAAGCCTGAAAGAGCGGGGGCCCTCCTGCCCCTCCAGCTCATCTCTCCTCCTCCTTCCATGCTTCCTGTGTCCCAACCACACCACTCCCCAAATAGATACATCTCCTCACCACTATACCATTGCACAGACTGTGCTTCTTGCTTGGAATGTGCTTTCCCCATTTCTGTCTTCTTTGTGAGCTTCTTGGACCTTCCTCCCCTTCCTCTTTACCTTTCCCGAGGAAGAACAAATCCCGTCATTCTCTGAACACACCCATCATCACATCAACCACATGATGGTACCTTATTGGTATCCCAGCTCCCCCCAACCCCCACACTCCTGCTGCACATCACAAGCTTCCAGAGGGCAGGAACTGTGGCTACTCCGCTCTGCATCCTGAATCCCAGCAAACTGTCTGGCACAGAAGACACTCAGTAAATATTGACCGGCCGTGGTGAGTTGAGTGGTGTGGTTCTACAGAACCAATCCACAACAGCTTGTCTGACTTGAAATTTTGCCATATGTCTCCCAAACGAAAGAAACAGATCTTGAATGTGAAAGATGAATTTCAACATTTCAATTTTATTTAAGAACTTGCTTTTTTGTCTTGAAAAAATACAAAATTCATTTTGCAGAATTCATCCACATAAATGGTCTAAGTCCCATGTGGTACAAATACATTTCCTAAATGGAATAAATGGAAGAGAAGGTTCTTCCCCCTCGACAAAGTACGTGCAGGGGGCGCCTGGATGGCTCAGTCAGTTGCGCCTCCGACTTTTGATCTCAACCAAGGTCTTGATCTCAGGGTCATGAGTTCAAGCCCCACTGTGGGCGTAGAGCCTACTTAAGAAAATGAAAAACAAAAAAAACCACAACATATGCAGAGGAAGGGCACGGAGGTCTGCGTGCTACACGGGGAGCGGAGGGGGGTGGTCTGAATCTGGCTGTGAACGCTGAAGCCTCAGGCCTACAGGTTACTGCATGTGAAACAGGTTGGTTTCAAAGCCGCCTTTTCTTAAGTTCTGGGTGGTTTTTAAAAATTATTAATAGGAACAGTTAAAAAAAACAACTCTGAGCAGAAAGCACAGAGTTCCCATGCACCCCCTCTGCACAACACAGTTTTCTGCTACATTTTTTCGCATTTGTGTTAGTATAGTGTTTACAGGTTTATCTGTAGGATAAATTCCTCCTGGTGGGATTGCTGGGTCAGAGGGCTAATGCATTTGTCATTTGGGCAGATAGAATGGCAGCTGCCTTTCAGAGGATTGTACTACTGGGAGTTCCCACTGGCCCTGTGTGACAGCTGAAGCCCCTTTCAGCTCTAACAGCTTTTATCCTGCCTCCCTCCCAGGACTCAGGCCCAGCGGGTAGATCTGTGGGGAGTTTTTCTTAGACGTGGGCTCCTAAACTGGCCACAGCAAGCTGTGCCACATGTGAGAGAGCGCCAATTAGAAAGTGCTTGGAGGCAGAACTTCCAAGCTATTGCCCTGCGCAGATAATTCCCCACACCTGTGACACCCTGGGGAGGCTTCCTGAGTCGAATCTTTGGGGTGCCCCGCTCTCACCAGTGTGGCCGAGCCACAGGGCAGCCTGTGCTGGCCTGGCACCCGAGAGCAAAGCTCCAGACCAGCTGGGCTGCCCAGCATGCTTGTCCCTTGCCACAGAGGCCTATTTAAATTTCTGATCATTAAAATTAAACTATACATTCGGTTTCTCAGGCCCACTAGCCACACTTCAAGTACCCAGCAGCCACATGTGGCTGGCTAGGAGTAAACATTGAATAGCCCAGATCTGGAACATTCCCGCCACCCCAGAAAGTTCTGTTAGACCCTGTTTCTCCGGAGAGGTGACCCTCTGGATAGGGCTAGTAAAACTAAGACAACTGGTGCTCGCTTCGGCAGCACATAAACTAAAATTGGAACGATACAGAGAAGATTAGCATGGCCCCTGCGCAAGGATGACACGCAAATTCGTGAAGCGTTCCATATTAAAAAAAAAAAAAAAAGACAACTGTTAGGTCCGTTATTAAACGAAACGAGACTGAGACAAAGTGAAAGTTATTTAAAGCTTTATTTTATGATAAGTATTAGAAGTTAGACTGATTGGTCAGGGGAACCAGACTGAGACAAGGTGAAAGTTATGCAGAGCTCTATTCTATGCTAAGCATTAGAAGTCAGACTGACTAGTCAGGGCCGGCTCTGAAGAGAGCGACCACCCCCAGTGTACAGGCTCAAGAATTGACTGACCGGTCAGGGCCGCCTCCGAAGAGGGAGACCCCTCCCCATCTTATAGACTACCTTTTTTTTTTTTAATATATGTATTTATTTATTTTAAAGATTTAATTTATTTATTTGACAAACAGAGATCACAAGTAGGCAGAGAGGCAGGCGGGCGGGGCGGGAGGCGGGGAGCAGGCTCCCCGCTGAGCAGAGAGCCTGATGCGGGGCTCCATCCCAGGACCCTGGGATCATGACCTGAGCTGAAAGCAGAGGCTTTAACCCACTGAGCCACCCAGGCACCCCTGTATATATTTATTTTATTTTATTTTATTTTTTATTTATTTGACAGAGAAATCACAAGTAGGCAGAAGTAGGCAGAGAAGCAGGCAGAGAGGGAGAAGCAGGCTCCCCGCTGAGCAGAAAGCCCGATGTGGGGCTCGATCCCAGAACCCTGGGATCATGACCTGAGCCGAAGGCAGAGGCTTAACCCACTGAGCCACCCAGGCACCCCCCGGACTACCTTTTATAGAGCGAAAGTCTGGCCACACATAGGTGGCCAATGAGATTGAAGTCATGTTAGGTCACACGCAGGTGGCCAATTGAATTGCAACTTACCCTATAGTAGCTGTTTGAACTAATCTATTACTCTGGTCAGATTTGGTGCTCAAGGTTGGCGCCCAAACGGCGGGGTTTACATTCTTTGGTGGTTAGGGAAAAAGTATGTGTGTTTCTTACTGATTGGATGTCTCCACCTGGCCCGACTCATCCTTGTATTCTGGGTTCTGTTATCAGGAACTGGCCGACCTGGCCTTGTATTCTGGGCTCCGTTATTAGGAACTAGCCGACCATATTTTCCTGGTTTCTCAGACTTGCTTCTAAGTAAGTTTCTCGGCGGGGGAGGGGGGCAGGGTCCGTTTAAGTTTTACTGCACAAACAACAAAATGGCTTTTAACCAAGATGGAGTCACTCTGGCTAAATAGGTCCTTACAACAACAACTTAATGTAAGGTGTATTCCTGGACTGGATCCTGATCCAGAAAAAGACATGAACGGCTCAACTGACAAAATGGGAATCAGGTCTGAGGAGGAATTAAGAGTGTGGTATCAGTGTTCACTTTCTTGGTTTTGAAAATTATGCTGTGATTAAGATGTTAATATTTGGGGAAGCTGCATTGTGAAGTGTTTTCAGAAATTCTTTGTACTGGTTCTGCAGTGTTTTTCGTTAGGTCTGAAAGGATTTCAAAATAAAAATTTTAAATTAAAAAAAAACTCTAAAACAGAAAAAAAGAGCGTGTGCCTCCTGGAACACGATTGGGGACAGAAACAGAGCTGTGGAGTAAGCGTGGTGTTCATGAAAAGCCAGTGAATGAGCGAAGGGTGGTCCATTTTGTAAGCGATGGTTGGAGAGACAGGAATGCGGGGTTTGGCCCCCGACCTCAACAGCTGGACTAGCTGCTTTATCCATCTGGGGCATCAGTGTCCTCTCTGAAAAGATGCCCCTTGCATCTCAGGAGACTGCTGTGAGGCTCCAAGAACTGTAAAGAACCATACCTGTAGGAAGAGCCTGCAGAACCCAAGCCGGCCCCGGACCAGCCCTCGTGAAAGATTACAAGCCGTGCCCTCTGCTCCTGCTCGGCTGTGCGGTTCAGTACGAGCAGCTGGAGGTCTGTTAACTGTGATTTTTTTTTTTTTTTTAAAGCCCTCGTGGTGGTCCTCTTCTGTTCAGTGGCTCCCATTCTGAGGCCCCATGCCCCTGAAAGTCTGGCCCCTCTGGTTACATGGCCGTGCACCTGCTGGGGGCCCCCAGGTCAGCATTTGCTTTCTTCCTGATGCTTTCTGCAAGAGAGAGGAATCCTATTGCTTCATGTTGCCTACGCTCTGCCTCACAGGGCTAGTTTCATGCTTTAATTGCCTGCCAGTGTTTGTGCTAAAAGAAGATAGATATTTAAGAACATTTTGGAAAAAAAGTCATCCCTAACACCTCTCCCCCCGACACCCCAGGCCATGATTGTTTTTCCACCTTGCCCACAGCTGCTGTGAGTTACCCACCACACAGGGGGCTCTCCTTTCTCCTCTCTAGGACATGCCAGCCCTGTTTTCACTGTTACTGCCTTCATTACTACTGCTGACTGCCTGATACCCCGTCCTGGAGTCTCCCCACAGTGCACCACCACACCAGTGGCCATTACGGTATTTACAGCTCTTTCATTGTGAGCTGATTTTTAGTACTGAATGTTCTATCTTGCTTGCCTGATAGTTCCACAGGGTGCTGAGAATCTCAAACCAGGCATGTAGAATGAACAGGCTCCAAAGGTTGTGATGGTCTCAGAAATTTTATTTGACCAGATCGAACTGTTGGAACTCATATTAAGCCAGTTCTGGCCCATATATCTTACTGTTTGTGAAAGAGGTCTGCAGGCTGTTCCAGCCTTATTCCAAATTAGAAAAAAAAAAATCAAAGTACAGAGGGCCAGAGAGGAAGAGATGATAGCATCGGTGGCTTTGTGGCTGTGAAGGTTCCAGGCATGATTTGAGCCAGCACGCTGACAGCGCGGATGGGGAGACGCGGGCCTGGGAGGCACTGGTTTGCCCGGGGCTCTGCCTGAATTCCAGTAGACAAGGCTAGGACCAGGAATCCAGAAGGTTCAGAGCCAGCACCACTGCACTGTGGTCTGAGCAGACCTCCGAGGGCTCTGTCACATTCTGGGGGGTAGTGCTGCCCAGAGCTAGGGACACTTACCAGCCAGGTTCCTCCTGCCAATGGCCACGAGGCCTTCAAACAGTGCTTTGCCAGGGTTCTCACCGGCGGTGGCCACACCATGCAGCCAGATGAGTAGCATCCGGTGGCCATGCTCCTGGTAGCTCTTGGTGCCTGACGACCATGAGGGGAGAAAGAGAAGGAGCCAACCGAGCCCCCCCTTGGCTGCCCTGCACCACCTCCTGCACATGCCAGGTAGGAGAGAGCCAGGCCCTTCTCTAAGCTCCAGTGGAGCTCAGCCCAGAGATGGGGAGAGGAGGGACAGGACAGGCTCAGAGGCAGTGGGGGCGGAGGTTTTGTGTTGAGGACTCTAGAAGTTCCCCAGCTGCAGGCTTTCTCCTGAGCGTCCACCATGCATCATGTTGGTGTCACTCTGAAGACAGGTTTGGTACTCCTTGTGATCCCATGATGCACGGGACTATTCCCTGCTTCTCTGGCTACTCACAGTAACCTGTGCCTTGCCCGCCAGTGGTCCTATTTTACAGATGAGAAAACCGGCTTAGTGCAAGACAGAGGTGGCCATGTTCTTTCCCCTACACCAGTGGTTCTCAGCTGTAGGTGCTCACTGGAAACCCCCTGGAAGCCTTCCAAAAAATACTGACACCTGGGTGCCATTCCCCATCCACCCACCCGGAGAGATTCCACCCTACTTGGGTCTGGGTGCAGCCTGAGCAGTGAGCGGTGTTAAGCCTTCCCAGGTGATTCCAGTGTACGGCCATGTTTGAAAATAACTGTCCACACTCTGCGATGTGGGAGGAGGGGGTGAGCTTTTTACTCCACTCTGTGACTAGGTAGGTCTCCTCTCCCAGCCACTGGGGCCAGGTCAGTCCACCACGTGCTCGGACTTTCTGGCTCCCTCTGGGCCATCAGCAGGCACTTCCTCATGTGCTGCCTTTGGCATAGCGGCTTCATTTGGCCCATTTATTCACTATCCCTTGCCCCCAGCCCCATTATTTAGGCGTGCTCCTTTATCCTCTCTGAAAGTTCTTATCCCTGCTCTGTTCCACTAACTGGTATGCATATTTTTCTGTCCAGTATCTCTCTATGCTAACTATTTGAGCTTTATAACAGGTTGAGTCTGTTTGGATTAGATCCTCTTCACTTTTCCCTTCCCTTCACTATTCCCTCTTCGGGGTTCCTGGTGGCTCAGTCAGTTAACCGTCGTCTGCCTTCACCTCAGGTCATGGTCCGGGGTCCTGGAATCGAGTCCTGAGTCAGGCTCCCTCCTCAGCAGGGAGTCTGTTTCTCCCTTCCCCTCTGCCCCCCAACCTCAGCTCATGCTCTCTCTCCTGTGCTCTCTCATACATGCTCTCTCTCTCTCTCAAGTAAATAAAATCTTTAATCATTCCCTCTTGATTCTTTCAAGAGAACTCTAGAATCTTTTAGTCAAGTTCCAAAAACCTGCTATTTTGATGTAATTAAACCTGAATCAGGGGAGCCTGGGTGGCTCAGTCAGTTAAGCATCCAGCTCTTGGTCATGATCTCGGGGTCATGATCTTGGAGCCAGGATCTTTGGGTTGTGGGATTAAGCCCAATGTTGGGCTCCGAGCTCAGTGAGGAATCTGCTTGGGTTATCTCTCTCTATCCCTCTGCCCCTGCCACTTGTTCTCTCTCTGTAAAATAGATAAATCTTAAAAAAAAAAAAAATCAAAAATTTAAACTAGTTTGGGAGAAATCAATGTCTACCTGACACTTCTAACCAGGAATACAGACTGTCATTCCACCTACCCAAGTCTTTTGTTTATAGTTGAACTAATGTTTATTGTTTTACTCATATGCCATTCATATTTCTTTTTAGAAACTATTGCAAATGGAATAGCTTTTCCAAAATACCTCTATATATCATCCCCACCTATTGATGGTAGACAGGAATACTATGGTGTCTGTATTTTATCATATTTATTATATTTATTATATCATATTTATCATATTTAGCCATTTCACTGCATTATTTTATTGAGTTTTTCAGTTGACTGGACTTCTGTGCATGATTATAGCATCTGAAGTTAAACCTCTCTCTTCCTTTCAATATTTACAGTCCTTATTTCTGTTTCTGTTTTCTGTCCTAGTACCAGGGGCAATTTTTTTTTTTTTTAACTTGAGAGACCAAGTGAGCATGACGGGGGGAGGGCCAAAGGGAGACAGAGAAGCAGACTCCCAGCTGAGTGGGGAGCCCAACTCAGGGCTCAATCCCAGATCCCGGGACCCTGGGCCCAGGACCTGAGCTGAAGGCAGACACTTAACCAACTGAGCCACCCAGGAGCTCTGGGCCAACATTTCCAAACAGATACTAAATAATGATGGCAAGATCTGGTCCTCTCCTTTTTATAGGGAGTGACTTTCGTTTGGTGTGTGAATGATGGGTATCAGCTTGGCCTAACTCATGAAGAATGTGAAGTTCACAGGTCAGTGGGGAGGGAGAGGCAGAGGGTACGGCCTGAGCAAAGGCCTGGAAGGATGGAGAGCCATGTGGGATGTTGGTGATGGCATGCGGCTTACTGTAGTCAGGCTGCGGGTTGCCCGGCTTTCCCCCCAGAAACACCGAAAACCGAATATCCAATGCTCCCCCACCACCACCCACTGGTCACTCTGGGGTGGGGAGAGGCAGGGCGGTACCTGTCAACTGCTGCTCGATGGCATGGACGTGGGCCTCAGTGAACTCCCAGCAATACGCCAGCTTCTTCCACTGGTGAGGCCGCAGGTCCCTGGAGGCCAGTCGCCACAGCACAGAGTAGAATTGCTGCCTTTCCTGCCGATGGTCCTGCTTAAAGGTCAAGTTCTTCCCATAGGGATCCTTGGGGTCCTTGCGCAAGGGGTGATCCTGTGGAGCAGATCCCAAAAGTTCAGCTGCCATTTGGGGGGAAATCCCTGCCAGGCTCACCTGTGGGAGTTTGGAGGGGCCCTAGCAGCATCCCAGGGCTGGGGCATCGTGTGTGCTACTCGGGTTTCTTGCTCTGTGCCTTGCTTTGACTTTGGGAACCCCAGCAGCTCACACTGTTCCTCTGTTCAGAATTCCTTTTCTCACCTGCCTGTCCCTCAACCCCACTGCCACAGTCCAAAGATCACCCACATGCCACCTCTTCCGGGAAGCCTTCCCAATTCCTCTCTTTTCTCTGTGTTTTTGTTACACAAGCGTGAGCAGAAAGACTCGGCGGCTGTGGCTAACACCAGTCAAGCCAAACCAAGGATCAGGCACTAACTAGATTTCCTGAATCCCAATAAGTAGTAAAGATGGGCTTACAGAATTCTTTCTATGCAAAGCAGGTGATGAAATGAGAAGTTACAAAAGAATTATGTGACCTAAGTTAACCCCACAAAAGCCTAAGTAAGCCCCTCTAAAGGACGTGGGTACAGAGTTATGGTTCTTAAAAAAAAGCTCAGATGGGTTCTGGCGTCTGCAGCTGCAAATCTTATATCCTGGTCAACAGTGGCCAGTGACTCGATGACCCGGGAGACTGGCTGTCACCTGGGGAAGTTCCTCAGCAGGGTTCCCGGCTGCATCTGTGCATGGGATCATCTGGGAGCTTTAAGAACCACTGACTCCCTGGGACACCTGGCTGGCTCATTCTGTGGAGCATGCGACTCTTGATCGTGGGGGTATAAGCTTGAGCCTCACGTTGGGTGTCGAGATTAATTTTAAAAACAAAATCTAGGGGTGTCTGGGTGGCTCAGTGGGTTAAGACTTCTGCCTTCAGCTCAGGTCGTGGTCCCGGGGTCCTGGGATGGAGCCCTGCACTGGGCTCTCTGCTCACCAGGGAGCCTGCTTCCCCCTCTCTCTCTGCCTGCCTCTCTGCCTACTTATGATCTTTCTCTCTCTCTCTCTCTCTCTGTTAATAAATAAAATCTTAAAATAAAAATAAAAAATAAAATCTAATACACAAAACAAAACTACGGATACTTGGTCCCCACACCAGTGATTCTGATTGAATTAGCCTGGGTAGGAGGGAGGTTTGTGATTCTAACTGCCCAGATGCCTTAGCATTGAGAACTTTTCAAGTCTGAGGTGTTAGAATCAAGCATAAAGAGGAATCAGTTCATCAAACCCTTGGTATTAATATTTTGGGGTCACAGTGAGGAGTAACCTGTTGTATGAAAAGGGGCTGTAATGTGTCTAAGAATCTAGCATGTCCATGAAAGAGAATATCTTATGATTCCTATTGAAATTTGTTACTGATTTTGAAATAGTGATTTTTATGAGCAGTACAGGAGAAGCTAAGTTTGCAGACAATATTGGAATGTTTAAGATATTTGAGATTCACTTTATAGGTTTAATTTACTGGATTTACTGGGATAATTTAAGAATTTAGGGGGCACCTGGGGCACCTGGGTGGCTCAGTGGGTTAAAGCCTCTACCTTTGGCTCAGGTCATGATCCCAGGGTCCTGGGATGGAGCCCCATATCGGGCTCTCTGCTCAGCAGGGAGCCTGCTTCCCCACCGACCCCTCACCACCTGCCTCTCTGCCTACTTGTGATCTCAGTCTGTCAAATAAATAAATAAAATCTTAAAAAAAGAATTTAGGGGGCGTCTGGGTGGCTCAGTCAGTTAAGTGTCCACTCTTGATTTGAGCTCAGGTCATAATCTTAGGGTGTGGGATCGAACCTCGTGGTCTGCTTGGGATTCTCTCTCTTCCTCTTCCCCCACCTCCCTCTCTAAAAAAAAAGAAAGAAAGAAAGAAAGACAGACAGACTAAGGAAGCAAAGTGCTTTAAAAAAAAATCTATCAGATTTAATCAGTCGCTTAAATTGTTTAAGATAGTTTAAGTTTAAACATGGGTCCAAACATTAATCAAAAGCCTTCCTAGAAAATGGAAATTCCCAAGATTCCTAAAAAATGCCAGTTTTATAAATGGAGTAAGATTTACAAAATGAATTTAAAAGTTTAAGGAAAACTAGATTTTTATTTTATTTTATTTTATTTATTTAAAAGAGTAAGCAAGAAAGGGAGAGAGCACATGCATGAGCAGGGATAGAGGGAGAGGAAGAAGCAGACTTCTGGCTGAGCAGGGATTCCCTAGAAGGGACTCCATCCCAGGACCTTGGGATCTTGTCAGCAGAAGGCAGACACTTAACCAACTGAGCCACCCAGGCACCCCAAGGAAAACCAGGTTTTAAAATTTGTTGATAAATTATTAATTTTTAAACGTGAAGTAAATGCAAAAATTATTTTCCAACTATAAAAACAACCTCAAAGACCAAAAAAAAAAAAAAAAAACCAACAAAAAAACCAAAAACAAAAAAAAGCCCCTCCCTACCTGACCCCATTTACTGGCGACTGAACAGCATAATCTTACATCTGCTACTCTTCTTCCCCAGTTCCTCAGCAGGCATCGCTAATCCATCCCGGCACTCTTTCCTTCTGGGCTCAGAAAGTTGCCTGGAGACAATACCCCCAGCAGCAATCCCAGTCACCTGGAGATGGCAGTGAGCGGAAACCAATTCGCCATCTCGTTCCTCTCGCACACAGACATGCGCACACGCATCCATCCGCCGGGCGCTCTAATAGCATCCATACTACCTCCAACCTGGCACGGCCCCCGGACTACCTTGGCTCACTCAGCTCCAGATGCTCAATCAGCCCTGGTGGTGGGTAAGGCAGGATTATCCCCTCCTTGGAAACAAGGGTGGGCGGTGCGGGGACCTGAATTGGGTGAGGGCTGGGGTTCAAAGCCAGCCCCACCTCGCGCCTTGGCCGCTCCCTCTGCAACATGGACAAACCTAGCGCAGGGTGTCCGTACCTTCTCCCACGTGTAGAGGCGATCAGCCTTTATGATCATGCCCACCAGGCTGACGTGGTTACTGTGAGCGGCCACTGCCAAGGCGGTTTTCCCTTGCTGCGAGGAAGAAGTAAGGGAAGCCAGAGTTGCTACAGGAGGGCTGTAGGGTGGCCTCTAGCATCTGCTGCAAACGTTCTGCCCCTAAGAAAGTGGCTTCCAGTAGAAAGGAGAGCAGAAATGTTTTCTGGGCATGACGAGGGACATGGAAGGCATGGGAAGAATGAGGCAGTAATTCCAGCAACTGCCTCTTGTTTAGATTTAGGAAGTCTTAGAGCATATGAAACTCAGCCTGCATAACTCTTCAACATCACCTGTGAAATAGGGGTTACTTGGCCTGCTTCTCAGCTGAAACCAGAGCCCAGAGAGGGGGACTGGGATCGTCAAGTCACATAGGCCCGCCCCCCTCAGGCCTTTTGCTCCAGGCATCCCGCACAGGGCTGGCCTCAATCTCCAGGCAGGTGCAGGGAGTTGGGAAGCTCCTCCTCGCACCTGGCCGGCTGCCCTGGGGCCCAGCTCAAGCCAGGGAGCCCCCCTCCAGGTCTAGCCTCAGGGCCTATTTCTGGCGCCCCCCCCAACCCCCCACAGCTCTTCCACACACCATGTCAAGGATTGTGCAAGCCCCTTTCCCTCACAAGCTTGTGACCTCCTTAGCCTTATAACAAGTCCTCAGCTCATCTGGAACCTCTGGCCACCTGAGGGAGTAGCCCCCCCCCCCAGGCACAAAGAGCCAGGAAGCTTCCCTACCCCTGACCCACATGTAGGGGACTGTGAGACAGTGATGTGATGCTCCTCTACTCCTCCCCCTCACCAATGGGCAACTCAAGGAGCTCAAAATCCGAGGGACCATGAAACAGAAGACAACCACCTCATAGTTCTAGACCGGCAGAAGGGCAGGCCAAGTCCTGAGGGACCTCAGAGGCGGAAGGGGATGGAGGGCTAGGAAGGCTTCCTGGTGGAAGCAGCATCTGAGCTAGTATATAAAGGATGGGAAGCTTTCAACAGTCTGAGAGCGGGAGGTTTTTGTAGTAGGGTCTCTGGCAAAGAGGAAGCCACGAAAGCTTGAAAGGGAGGCTGGTTGGGAGCAGATGTACCTTATCTCTCAGGTTCAAGTTAACCCCCGCGATGAGGAGCATCTCATGCTATGTCCTGCCTGGCGTGCTCAGCCGCAAGGTGGAGGGGTGTCTGCTGTCTCTGGGGAAAAAGCCAAGGGGATAGGAGAGTAGAAAAGCATGTACAAGTGGCCCAAAACTCAAACCAGGACAGGTCCAAGGTGGGTACACTTCTAACTGCATCTTAACAAGTTCTCTAAGAAGTTATGGGAGGGAGTAAGATGGGTTTAGTCATAAACTCAGTATCAGAGAAAACTTGATAAAAACAAAAAAGCAGAAAGAATAAAGGAAAAAAATACCACTTGCTAGCTAAGTCAATCTCTGTAAAGAGCCCAATATAATTCTTCTAGTCTTTAATGTAGAATGCTTTTGGTTTGTTGATTTTACATGAGATCATCCCATCTATATATTTTGCATCCATTTTTCTACCTAACTTGTCCACATATTATAAACTCCGACAAAGCCCATTTTTAACAGCTCCACAGTAATCTATGTCTAACCCATAATCTACCTGATCATTTCTCTATTATTAAATATTTGGGCCATCTGCAAATTGAAGATTGATAAGCAATGTTGCAATAGGTATCTTTGTGCATGAGCTTCTAATGTATTTCTTGAGGCCCAATTCACTGAAGCGCAAAGCCTGATCGTTTTGAAGGTATGAGCGGTATCCTGCCAAGTTGCTTTCCACTGCTCGTCGTTGTAAGTACAGGCACTGAGGACTACATGGTTGAGGGGAGGCATGTGGGGAACGGGCATTGAAAGGGCTCCTGACTCAGCATAACTTCAGGACTCAGAGGCCTCTTGTGACACAAGACTGCCCCACTCACCCCTGTCCTGGAAATTTTCCCAAAGTGGGGATAAAAAAATCAGTGAAAGGAGACAGTAGAACGTAGGAAGATGTTTACTGGAGTGTTTGATGGACCATGGCAGCAACATGGAAACCACCAAAATGTTCCAAATATAGGAATGGTTGATAAAATGCCATTCCCTTCAACAAATATTCACACAGCTCTTTTACAAACCAAGGAAGTAATTTCTCAGCTCTGAGCCAGGCTAGGAGATGGCAGCCAAGCCCTGCCAGTCTGGGAGGGTGCCTAGAAGCCCTCTGGGGCCCAAATGGTTTCTGCAACCACTTACATTGTCTGTGGCATCCAGGTCGCTACCGGCATCGAGGAGGAGCTGGACCAAGGCAGGGAAGTTGTGTTTTACAGCTAGGTGCAGAGGAGAGACACCCTGCTGGGGGAGGAGACACATGGGTCATCCGATGGGTCCCTCCCAGGACGGCCCTGCACAGGTTGGTAGGTTAGTGCTGGGGGTGGACAGAGGGAAGGCTGTATACAAAAAGTGCTTTTTGGTTTGGCCCTTCTTGCTCCTCGGAGGACATCACTGGCTCAAGGAATCCATAGCCCCAAAGGCTGAAACCCTGGAGTTTCTGCATTGTAAGTTGGGTGGGAGCCTGAAGATCCAAGTTTGAGACCTCGCTATCCCAGGAACTCACTATGTGACTGTGGGCAAGTCATTTCCCTTCTCTGGACTCTTCATCTGACAAGTGATATTTCCTGAGGTTCCCTTCTAGCAACATTTAAAAATTCTCTAATATCTCATTGAATCCACACATGAACCTAGGCAGCGTATATAGAAATGGTGTTACTAGTATTTTCTTCTTATGAACAGGAACGCTGAGGTTCAGGAGACATAAATGACTTGCCCATAGCTAACAAGAACCTTTTGTCATTGGGAATTTCTCCCCCGAGCACCAAGGTAGGTGCCTGATTACTGTTTATGCATGAAAGGAATGAATGAGAGTGTCAGCTGGAACCAGAACAGAGACCTCACAAGTCCAACACACATCCAAGGCCTCTCTCAAGGCTGGAAAACTCCTTCATCTATGGTCCCTTATGACTCCCTCCTGACCATACGACAAAGTGGAGATACTGCCATCCTTGTCACTTGGTGATATAGTGACACAGACATAGAGGAATAGTACAAAGCCAGTAAGATTGATAGTGGAAAAACACCCTCATATATTGAGTATAAAAAGATTATAGAACAGAACGCACACACAGACACACAAAATGATAAAAATGTCTTCTACCAATGTCTATTAGTTTAGGCCAGAAATTTTTTTAAAATAAAAAAAATGAAAAAGGTTTATTGATATTGGAAAAGAAGATTTAAACTATACGATGATTTTGTAGGCAATGTGATTGTATATCTAGGCAGGTTAAAAAAGTTATTCCACCCCCCCCAAAAAAACTGTAGTAAAATTAATTCAAAGTCATATAGAAGATAAAACCCAAGTCAATAGCATTCCTATTTTGAATCCCTACAAGAAATGACAAATCTTTTAAAAGATATCTTCTCCATGACAGCCCAAAATACAAAGTATCTATGAAGAGTATAATTGTTATTGGACATATCAAAGGCAAAATAAAGCCATATAACATCACTGAGGGATAGAAAAGAAGACAAAGAAATAGCAAGACTTCATGCTCCTAGTGAAAATATATTATAAAGATGACCATTTTCTCTTATATTTACAAGTTTAATGTAATCCCATACCCAAATTTCAATAAATGCCAAAAAGGATTCTGAAACACATCTAGAAAAAAAATTTTTTTTTTAAGATTTTATTTGTCAGAGAGAGAGTACAAGCAGGCAAAGTGGCAGACAGAGGCAGAGAGAGAAGCAGGCTCCCCGCTGAGCAAGGAGCCCGATGTGGGACTCAATCCCAGGACCCTGGGATCAGACCCGAGCTGAAGGCAGCGGCTCAACCAACTGAGCCACCCAGGCATCCCTAGAAAAAAAATTTTTTTAAACCCAAGTAAAACTCTCTAAGAATTTCAACAGTGTCCTCAGATCATTGCTGGATGGCTGTGAAATCAAAATCCGGCCTTGAAAAGGTGTGCTGTGCCATTGAATGGGCAGAGACTAAAACTGGCGCAAATGCACATCTCAGGTGAGAAACAAGTTCTGGAAACTTGTCAGAACTACAAGGCCTGGCTTTCCAGGAAGCTGCAAACTATGGAGATAAGCGAACACACCCGATCTAGCCTCAGTTGTCCTGGAAACACATCTGGGGGAATGTGGTCTGAAAGGGGAGTGGAAAGAGAGAAAGTTGTTTTTAGTTGTTTTAGATTTTAGTTGTTTTACATTTTATTTATAAAAAACAAAAGAACCAAAAAGTACACAAGATACCTAGTGAAGGCCTTTTTCCACCCCTACCATCCATCTGCTTATACTCTGCACTCCTAAACCCCACTGATAATCTTTTTTTTTTTGGTCAGAGAGAAAGAATAAGCAGGGGGAGCAACAGGCAGAGGGAGAAGCAGGCTCCCCGCTGAGCAAGGAGCCTGATGCAGGCCTCCATCCTAGGACTCCAGGATCATGACCTGAGCCGAAGGCAGTTACTTAACCAACTGGTTAACCCCGGTGCCCCCAATAACTTTTTATTACACATATGAGCCACATCTTGCAGCAGTCTGAAAGGACAAAGGAGGGCAGGGCATCCCTAAAAAAGACCAGGATGTGCCCCACGCTACAGTATTGGCTCATAGTATTGGCTCTATTGCCTTGCATCAGAGGGAGGGGACATCCATACTAGAGGCAGCCAAAGATCCCCAGCTAGCAGAACACTGGTCCTCCTGGATCAGCAGATAGAGGAAGCTGAAGTTGGTGAATGTTTAGCAGGTATTCATTCATTCATGAGTATGTATAGATTGTCCACTGTGTGCAAAGTACGTTCTAGGCACTGAGGATCCAGCAGTGGACAGAACAGACAAAGCATCATCAGCAACAGCATCAGCAAAGAGTTTGCATTCTGTTGGGGAAAACTGACAATAAACACAAGAAACAACTTGTCCTATCAGTTGTGCCAAATGCTAAGAAGAAAGCAGATCCCATCGGAGGCAGAAAGTCATCAGAGATAGGGGAACAAATGGGAGTGTCTGCTCTTTTAGAAGAGTGAACAGAGGTTCAGGTTGCCTCTGATGAACAGACACTAGGGGTGGCCGCTGTGTAGACCGAATCAGCCCCCAACACGGGCGGAAAGAGCACGAAACCCCTACAGGAAACAATTCATTGTAATAGTCCATGAAATTTAAGTGTTTAATAAGATGTGTCACAGAAGGGAGGCTTATTAAGTAAGAGGTGTTGAGATAAGTAGTCAGTCATTTTGGAAGGAAAAATACACATCGATCCCTGTTTGATACCATAGATATTTAAAATTTTATTTTTTTTTAAATCTGATTTTTAAAAGTTGGCTTTTAAAAATTTATGGAGGGGTGTTTGGCTGGCTCAGAAGAGCATGCAACTCTTGATCTCGGGGTTGTGAGTTCAAGCCCCATGTTGGGTGTAGAGATTACTTAAATAAATGATAAATAAGATAAATCTTTAAAAATCAACTTATGGGGGCACCTGGGTGGCTCAGTGGGTTAGGCCTCTGCCATCAGCTCAGGTCATGATCTCAGGGTCCTGGGATCAAGCCCCGCATTGGGCTCTCTGCTCAGCAGGGAGCTTGCTTCCTCGTCTCTGCCTGCCTCTCTGCCTACCTATGATCTCTCTCTCTGTCAAATAAATAAAAGTTAAAAAATAAAAAAAAAATTTAATCAACTTATGAAAAAATTAGAAGAGAACAAATTATTTTGAAGTTAGGAACAAAGAGATTCATTTACCAGGTGTAGAAACAATATAAAAAAAGTAAAGGAAAAACATCAGATTTGACTTGTTAGGATCTTCACTCTTTAGGACCATGTCTTTGACACTGTTACTACCAGCAGATTATTTTCATTTTTTTAAAAAATGTAAATGTAACAAAAATAATATAAGTAAGTAAATAAGGGCAAACCTAGCCCAAATGAAAAGGTAAACAACTTAACCAGGAAGAAATGTTTGTTGTCAACATTGGAGGCAGAAGGCTGATATATACTACATACAGAGTAGTATACAGTAGTAGTAAAGTACTAGTAGTAGTAAAGTAAAGAGCAGTAAAGATGCAAACTAATCAAAAAATCAAATTAGATCCCTACATGTAAATGTGCAAACAATTTGAAGAGACGATTTACCACAAATGGAAAAATGTTCACTTTTGATAATAATCAAAGGGGTGTAAATTAAGACAATGGTGAGGGATACTTGATATTTGTTTTTTAAAGTTTATCTTCTTGTATATTCATTACACCCATCATGCGCTTCGGACTCACGACCCTGAGATCCAGAGTCCCAGGCTCTTCTGACTGAGCCTGCCAGGTGCTGCTGGGGTTTTTTTTAATTGGGAGAAAATGTAAAGCTCTTGGGGTAAGAGGATCAGGACACTCGCAGCCTGGACACTGCTCGTGGTTCTGCAGATGCGCATGAGACTTTCAGGAAGTTGTCCAGCTTACATATCAAGAGCTAGAAAGATGCTCACAATAGTTGACCTCAAATTCCCTATGTCTAAGAATCTTTCCAAAAAAAGAAAAGAAATCATATGCATACAGCTGTGCTATCTGTACTGGCAAGTAAGCCAGATGCTCTATCCCAGTGGAGGAGGTTGATAAATCATGGTGCCTCCATTCATCAGACCAGATGTCACCATCAGTACCTATGCAGCCACATGGAAATGCTCGTGATTATCTGGACCCAAAATTATATACGTAGTATAATTCTAACCAAAGTAGTATATATGTATATGTAGTATATGTAGTATAATCTATACCAAAGTAGGCAATTGAAAAAAAGAGAGTAAATAAAGAAGAATATTTGTGCGAGGGTAGTAAAAATCTGAATGATTCTGTTTTCCAAACTTCCTTTTATGTTTAATTTCTTTAAAAAAATTTTTAAGTTCGGGGCGCCTGGGTGGCTCAGTGGGTTAAGCCGCTGCCTTTGGCTCAGGTCATGATCTCAGGGTCCTGGGATCGAGCCCCGCATCGGGCTCTCTGCTCAGCAGGGAGCCTGCTTCCTCCTCTCTCTCTGCCTGCCTCTCTGCCTGCTTGTGATCTCTGTCTGTCAAATAAATAAATAAAATCTTTAAAAAAAAAAAAATTTTTTTAAGTTCAAATTTGTGGATGGGTTTAAAGTTTTATTCAAATATGTAGAGAGATATGTTCCTACAGAAGAGTAAATATTAAAATCATTTTAATTATCTCCAATTAATTTATAGTCCTACAATGATTATTCTAAATCTTATATTGGTTTTTAAATTTTATTTATTTTTTTATTAATCTTTTTCTTAACATATAATGTATTATTTGTTTCAG